TTGCGTCCCCAATTTAGCAAAACTACGTACAAGAACAACGGAACACATTCAGTGGGAGTGTGACTTGAGACTTCTAAGGAGTTCAGAAAACTAAAAGTTAGAAGTTGCTAAAGCTTCTAGAAGTGCAGAATGAAGCTCATATTGAAAAATAAGAGGTGTGAAAACACTTCAAGAGGTCTAGTGTTTTCACTGGATTACAATGTTAGACCTCCAAACCAAGAGTTCTAAGCTTAACTGAACTGAAAAGTACCTAGGATGAGTATCAAAAAGTTTGGATCTTGCACCTCGTCCAAAATCCAAAAAAAGTCGACCATCATCAGTTTGTACAAAAAGAACTAATCAGTTCATACAAAAATCTTCAAGCTAAGCAAAACTTAACTAACAAAGTCCAAATTGCTATCCCAGTGAAACTTTACATATAGCAGAAGGGGAACCCTGTCTGAAATCTTCCCAATTTCTTATCAAAATGTTACTATTGCACAGATGCATCTAAATATAACATCTAACTACGCGTTGACAGGCGACCCTCCAACTTTGTATTCCAGAAGGCCAATCTTGTCGTCATTGCCTCAAAATCGATGGGGTAATCAGAGAATGCGCCGCGTTCACTCTTGAGTACAGGATTGTGGCGATCACTGAAATACTGTTAATCGTTTCTTTATTCTAAGAATTCGCAGCTTCTGCATACGATAAGTGAATTTTAGTAACTGGTGACGGCAGAAAATACTCCTCCCAATAAATCCTTTTTGCAGTAAAGAGAAACTAGTCAAAATTTCTATGAAAAATTTATTATTCTTTGCTTTGGTATTTTACCATTACACTAAGCCAATACAAACCAGAGATTCTCGACTACAGCTTCATTTCAGAGTGGTTATGGAAAAAAAGATAACTATCTTTACTGATTAACATGTGTATCAAAAATTTTTGAAACCCTCCAAGGTACTTAAGCTCACCTTTTTGCTTCGAGAAAGCAGTTTTCAAAAGTACGTGCAATAAGGAGCATGAATCCCTTATGAAGGAAACACATTGAACATTTCGTATTCCAAGTGAAAGGTTGGGACGGAGGAGCAGAGGGGTTATGAGAGGAAGAAGAGAGAAAAAAGATGGGAAATAGTAAGGCTGTACGGATTATCTATCATCCCCAGGCCACTTTTGCTCAATTGTAGTTTTTACAGCATCGAAAGCTCCTATGTTAACTCATCAACATAAACAGCATTACCCCTTGAAAGGCCCAATATGAAAAAAGCTCAAATTATCAATATGAAAGCTCGATTGCAAAGAAGAAGCCAACCCCTGACACTCAAGTAAGATAGACAAATGCATTTTGTTTCAAAATGGCTAATGGTCCAGGCTTCCACATGAACGTCCTTTAATAAAAAGGAATCGACAACAGAGCATATTTGAAATCTTCACGTCCTCTTTCAGATTGCATAACTTATTGGAAGATGAAATTTGCTCGACTTTGTGATATTGTTTATATTGCAATCCTCAAAGCAACAACCGGCAGGCTGTGTTCTTTTAAGAAATATGTTCACCCACCCCTTAAAAGTCAAAAAGGAAGTATAGAGAACCATATCAAAACATATGGATACACGGTCTTATACGGTCTTACCAATCCTGTTTGACAAATTTTTTGAAGGTATAAGCCATTGAAACAAGCAGTTTTTCCCTTGCATCGCATTTCACTTATTTCTTGCCAAAGAAATGTATAACACCATATTCACTACAGTCATTCTTATATCAATCAAAAAAGTAGATTCTCCTCTCTGTACACCCCTCCCAATTGACGACATCAATGCATCTATAAATGATTCCCTGTTGGAAATGCTTTTTCCGAATTTCAAGAATTGAGGGATGATCGGATTCAAAATGCCAGATGATACATTCTATGCAGGTATTATTGGATTGAACCATTTTGGGAAGTATTCTTACGTATAAGCTTTCCAGATATCTTTTCCACGTATTGCCCACTCATCGGCTTGATAAACAGGTTCAGGGAGAGAAACGGGAGCATTGGAGATCTAGAATCCATAAAAAAAAAGAAATTACAGTGGAATTGTACAATAAACAATGATACTTACTTGATGATGGAAAGTCAAGACAAGCATGAGCGACTGAAGCTCATCCGAACTCATCTCATTTTCGTCCACGATTACTTGATACGACGTTGGTCTCGCTGTTCCCTGTAAGAAGGTACCAGAGACAAAAAGTTATGATACGTAATTCGCAGACTGAATCATTGCAATTTTCCGCATACTTGCAGCGGCCAACTAGACTGCAGGTACTGTAGCTGGCTTCGGATTAGCGACATCTAAGAACATAATATGCGGAATCCTTTTAGAAAAAAAATGCCCGATATATTGACTAATGCTGCTTACCGGAACCATTCCGTACAAAAAATCGTGCATTGTGTCGTTTCGTCGTTATTATCACTGTGAACAATGGCATCCACGACTC